ATTATTAAGAATGGTATTTTTTACTTCATTTATAATACCAGATTCACTATTCATATTATTCAAATGATGAATTAACTCTTCTCTTGTTGGTACCATAATACTTAAAGTAGCATAATTAGAATCAGAAAGAAACTCTGTAGCTTTATCGAATGGATACAAAAGGTTAGCTAGGTCACGTATAATTTGAAACTATTATTAGAAAGTAACTTTTCTCAAATATTACTGCCATCATGTTGATGCTCAATATTTGTAGAATTTTCAAGATCATTGACTAACCACCTAATTGACCTTTCAAGTTTTGTTAGCCTTTTTAGTGCTATATATGTGGAATTCCACCAAGTATCCACATCTTGAATTACATAAATAGTTTCTGATTTTTTTTTGCCAGTACTAATTTGTATCTCTTGTAATTGTTTATGTTTTTTTTCTCTACCCAAAAGTCTAATTAATGCTTTACATTTTATAATTAGATCACATACTTTATTTAAGCCTGCATTAACACTTAATTGTAATGTGTATGCTGTGCAAAAAATATTGACAATAGGCTTGGGTGGTGAATTTTTAGTTGAAAGTTGTGTGACAGCTGCCTTAATATTCGAACTGTTGTCTGTCGTGATACTTACTAATTTGCTTTCACTAATGCCAAATTCTTCTAATACAGGTTCAATTGTACTAACAATGTTACTAGCAGTTTTATACTCACCTATTTTAATCATATTTAATGTAGAATCATATATCATAAATTCATCAGAGATCTAGTAACACGTTAACCCCAAGTAAGAATCATGCGCCTGAGATGTCTACAAGTCAATAGTAAGTGATACCATATCTGCTTGGATACTAATCATGTAATTGATAGTTTTTGTTGTATGATATACAAGGTGCTTTATATCGAGGATCAAAAGAATTTAAAAAGGTACGAAAATTCCCATTTTCTATTAAAGACAAAGGAAGGGTACAAAAAAAAAATAATTTAACTATATCCCGGGTAAGTTTTTGTTGTTTTGGTTTGGAATGTGGTTTTGTTAAGATTGTTTCAAGTGTTTGTTGCAGTGGTTTTTTAAGTTCTTCGATTGATTTATTTTCAAGAAACATTTTTGTGATATGGTATATGTCACGAAGATGGTTAATCATATTTGAAGTTGAGCTATGCTATGTGTACTCTACTTTACAACCTTTGATTGAACATCGAACTTTTGTCACTATCTTATCGTCATTTTCATATTCAAAAAGGTCAAAAAATAACCAAGTATAACTATCCTTAGAATTTTTCTTATACTGATTTTTTTTTGTTTTTTTTTAAAGTCAATTAAAAATGTGGATTAGCAATATCTTTCTGATCAACGCATTTTGATTTATTTCTAGAAAATGAATCATTTGAACCAAAACTTATATCCATTCTTTTAGATGAACTACTAGCACTAGAGGTCAAAGCCATTATTGTAATGAGGCTATTAACTACTAACGCAAAAAAGAGAAAGCAAAAACAAATAGACGAAATAATTGTTTGTGATAATTTTATTAGATTTGTTATAACTTTAAAAAAAGTAAAGATTAAAAATCATCCTTATTTGATAACTTTTTATAATTTTTAGATACTATATAATTGCGAGCTAACACCAATCCACACGTTACTTGAATATGCCTACATGGATATTTGGAATAAAAAATCAATTTCCAAGCCTGATAATTACTCTATTATAATGCTGATATAATATAGAATATGCATTATTTCATAGCTTTTATAGGCGTTACTTCAAATAATACATACTATTGCTACAAAATAGATTTTTTTTAAAATAACACCTACATTTTTTCTTTCAATTATATCATATGATATAATTACAAGGATTCTATTACTTTCTATCTTTTGGGGCTTTGGAGCTTTGGGGCAATACGACAAGTATAGATATGTGCGTGAGTTCAAAAAATTTTTTTAACAATATTAACTATTATTTATTTTTTTGAATTTAGGTGTGCACACATATCAATGAATATGTGGATTGTGTACAAATTCTATAAATTCACAGAAGGAATTTTAACAATGCTTGACTTGATAAATTATATGAACGTAGGAAAATGCATAGAGAAATATCCTTACTATTAAGAATCAATCTATTTCTATAAATTCGAGATGGTTCTTGGGTTTTTGTTTGCCCCATATTGTCGCGAAATAATAGGCATAGGTGTTATTTAGACAATTGTACCCTATGAAAATAACATAAATGGTTTCAAATAACACTCATGCGCCTCTCAAATAACACGCACCCAGTATAAACAATTTGAAAGTTCAGGTTCAAGAAAATTATTTTATTTCAAAATAATGCTCATGTGCATATTCTAAATAATGCATATATATTTAAAATAATGTGCAAGTGGGTATTATTTCGTGACAATATGGTATGTAACTTTAGTTAATTCATCATTTGAATAATATGAATAGTGAATCTGGTATTATAAATGAAGTAAAAAATACCATTCTTAATAAT